GCAGCAGCAGCAGCAGCAGCAGCAGCAGCAGCAGCAGCAGCAGCAGCAGTAGTAGCAGCAGCAGCAGCAGCAGCAGCAGCAGCAGCAGCAGCAGCAGCAGCAGCAGCAGCAGCAGCAGCAGTAGTAGCAGCAGCAGCAGCAGCAGCAGCAGCAGCAGCAGCAGCAGTAGCAGCAGCAGCAGCAGCAGCAGCAGCAGCAGCAGCAGTAGCAGCAGCAGTAGCAGCAGCAGCAGCAGCAGTAGTAGCAACAGCAGCAGCAACAGTATTGTTCTCTCTGGTCCTGATTGGCTCCTGCTGGACTCTAACAGACCGTGTCAAACCTGCTCCTGGACAAACGCCGCGGCGCACGGTGCTTTGTGAGCCGTGACAGAGAGTATTGATGTGGCACGTGGCACTGGGCTGAGGCTCAGGGGCCGGGACCAGGGGCCCCCGGGACGACCTGTGACCCCTGCTCAAAGACTGGCTCTCCACGTGAGGGGAAGAAGATGAACCCACACAGAGAGAGAGAGAGAGGGAGAGACCAGAGAGGGAGAGAGAGCAGAGAGAGAGCAGAGATAGAGGGAGAAGGAGAGAGGTAGACCAGAGAGGGAGAGAGACCAGTGAGAGAGAGGGAGAACCATTAGAGAGAAGGAGAGAGAGAGACCAGGAAGAACAAGAGGGAGAGACCATGAGACCACAGGAGGGAGAGTGAGAGACCAGAGTGGGAGAGAGAGAGAGACTGAGAACCATTAGAGAGAGAGAAGGAGAACAAGAGAGAGAGACCATGAAACAACAGAGAGGGAGAGAGACCAGAGAGAGAGAGAGAAAGAGTCCAGAGAGGGAGGGACATACATTAGAGGGAAGGAGAGAGAGAGAGACCAGGGAGTCCAAGAGAGAGAGTCCAGAGAAAGAGAGAGAGACAGGAGGTGGATTCTCGCTCACACAGGTCCAGAGCTTTTATAGATTGTGTGTTGTTGTTTGTCACACTTTGATGCCATTGGTCGGTTTGGATTCTGTTTGTGTAAAAGAACATGTGGGAATCAGAGAGCCAAACAATCTGGCCTCCCGTGGGTCACAGCGACCCGATTGTGTGTCTGCTATGATTGTGTATCTGCTACGATTGTGTATCTGCCACGATTGTGTATCTGCTACGATTGTGTATCTGCTATGATTGTGTATCGGCTACGATTGTGTATCTGCCACGATTGTGTATCTGCTACGATTGTGTGTCTGCTACGATTGTGTATCTGCTACGATTGTGTATCTGCCACGATTGTGTATCTGCTACGATTGTGTATCTGCTACGATTGTGTATCTGCTACGATTGTGTGTCTGCTACGATTGTGTATCTCCTACGATTGTGTATCTGCTACGATTGTGTATCTGCTACGATTGCGTGTCTGCTACGATTGTGTATCTGCTACGATTGTGTATCTGCCGCGATTGTGTATCTGCTACGATTGTGTATCTGCTACGATTGTGTGTCTGCCACAATTGTGTATCCGTGTTGTGTTCTTCGATGTCTGTAGATATGACACGTAAGTCTTTCGATGTGTGACTAAACATTGACTGTTTAAACCGTTTCCTGACTTTGTTCTGTCGAGAAGAGAGAGATAAAAAGTGTTATTTCTTCAGACGATCCTCCACCAACAGAAGAAGACAAAGTCTGGGATCGTGTCTTTAATTCAGACAGAATCAGAATGTTTTATTGTCGATGGTGGAGACAGCACCAACAAAGATATTACAGAATGTATGTGATAAAGAAGTTCACCGATCATGGCCGATACCGATCGTGGCAGATCTGATCAAATATTGATATTTTTTGTGATAAATGAATAGAACATGGGGAGGCTGCTTTTCAGATTCATGCTGCTAAAATCTGGAACAGTCTTCGTGAAGATGTGAGACAAGACTCCTCTCTGACAATGTTTAAAACCAGGTTAAAGACAGTTCTGTTTAGCTGTGCATACAACTGAGGGATTTTATATTTTTATCTTTCTTTTTAATGATTTTAATGCTTTTGTTTTGTTCAGCACTTTGAGTTGCCTTGTGAACTGTGCTATACAAATAAACTTGCCTTGCCTTGCCTTGACTAGTTATTCACTTTATAACTAATCTTTCGAAACCATCAAGGTACCATGTATTAAAAATAAAATGCCCTCGGGTACTCAAGACAAAAAGGTCGGGAACCACAAGTAAACGTTACATCAACACTGTACACGCTGCTTTTCTAAACTGATTAATAGAGATCGTTAAGGCAATGTTTGATCTTCAGGAACTTTAGCATCTCAGCATTAGCAGGGGTTAGTTTATGACGTTTATCATCCTGAAAAGTCCCGCTGCGTAAACAGCCGCTCACTGTCTGCACTTGTGGAGCGCTGAGGAAAGGCTGCTTTGGCCAAAGCGGCTTTTATTTTCCTTCCAATAAACAAGCGGCTTCTGCTCCGAGGCGTGACTAGTTTCACGCTGCATCTGCGACACTGTAGGACTGTCCTTACGACCACTTCACTCATCTTCCTCCAACATGTCTGTGAACATAACATGCAAAGTCCCGACACGGGATGTTTCTGCCTGTGGCTCGGATCTCAGCGCTGCTGGGTGAGTTCGGTGTCTGTGCGGTGTGACTCCGGCTGGGCTGGGAGTGTCCATGTGAGAATATACAGTTTGGTAAAGCTGCGGCAGCCACACATCAGTCAGATATCTCTGTGATGGCAGATTGAAGCACTGGACATGAGTCGTTTGAAACCAGCGCTTTCCACGACAGACGAGCTCTGGGGGCACAGGGAAGAAAACCATGTGAAAAACTTTTGTGCATATTTGGTGTTCTTTCTTACGTCATTACTGATTACTGGTTGTTGCAATTGTCGCAATTTTGACGAGAGAAAGTAACTTGTGCGAATGAACCCCCGTGTCAGTATGGAGGAACGAACACCGTCCAATCAGCAATCGCCACAGTGCCAGTATTTTGGCCTTCAGAAAAACCCAAACATGCAGTGGAAAAGTACTGCCTCGTGCATATTAGAATGATGAGTTAGAACTTCCACAGTTGCTTCAAAGTGTCATGAAATCTCCACAAACATTTTAAATTAATGCGTCCATTTTCTTTCTCTTTGTTCATTTCTGGGTCGAGGACAATCAGCTGCATCCAAACCACAGAGTCCACAGGAGGACGGCTGCTGTGGCGGGCTCCAGGCACAGTGGGGGGAAGTGTCTTGCCCAAGGACACAACGACAGCAGACGTCAGTGGGCGGTGGAGAAGGTCTCATGATGGGATGGAACCCACAACCTCCAGGCCCATGCTCTACCACCTGAGCCACGGTTGTATTTACAGTAATGTTTTTCTTTTTGCTGAAACACAGAAATATAACCGGTTCAGAAACACCTGGTAGAAGACGCTGAGGCTGAAGCAGAAGCAGCACCATGTGGACAATAGCACCATGTGGACAATAGCACCATGTGGACAATAGTACTATGTGGACAATAGTACTATGTGGACAATAGCACCATGTGGACAATAGCACTATGTGGACAATAGCACCATGTAGACAATAGTACTATGTGGACAATAGCACCATGTGGACAATAGTACTATGTGGACAATAGCACCATGTGGACAATAGCACTATGTGGACAATAGCACCATGTAGACAATAGTACTATGTGGACAATAGCACCATGTGGACAATAGTACTATGTGGACAATAGCACCATGTGGACAATAGTACTATGTGGACAATAGCACCATGTGGACAATAGTACTATGTGGACAATAGCACCATGTGGACAATAGTACTATGTGGACAATAGCACCATGTGGACAATAGTACTATGTGGACAATAGCACCATGTGGACAATACATATACAGTATGTGGACAATAGCACCATGTGGACAATAGTACTATGTGGACAATAGCACCATGTGGACAATAGCACCATGTGGACAATAGCACTATGTGGACAATAGCACCATGTGGACAATAGTACTATGTGGACAATAGCACCATGTGGACAATAGTACCATGTGGACAATAGCACCATGTGGACAATAGTACCATGTGGACAATAGCACCATGTGGACTAGAACTGTGCAAAACAAAAAAACTTGCCTTTGTGCTTTGACACTTACGACGTTGTTGTTGTAGTTCTTGGATCGGCCACAAGGGGTCACCAAACAAACGACCACAGCAACTCTCAGAGAATGCAGTACTTTATGATTTGTTTTTTCCAGACAAAGAGGAGCAGAAAGGAGCAAACTCTGTCATCTGTGGAGAAGTGGGTCTGACCCTGGGTTTGTGGATTCTCTTCCTCTGCCCTGAAGCCCCAGTCCTGGTTCTGCCTCTGCCTCTGCTTCTGCCTCCTCATCCATCCAACCATCCCCCCGACCCCCACCGACCTCTGCCGGTCAATGACCAGAGAGAGAGAGAGAGAGAGAGAGAGACCAGAGAGACCAGAGACAGACCAGAGACAGACCAGAGAGAGAGAGACACCAGAGAGTGGGAGAGAGACCAGAGAGAGACCAGAGAGAGACCAGAGAGTGACCAGAGAGTGACCAGAGAGAGAGTGAGAGACCAGAGAGAGAGAAATACTAGAGAGGTACTAGAGAGAGCGAGACCAGAGGTATAGAGACCAGAGAGAGAGAGAGAGAGACCAGAGAGTGACCAGAGAGAGAGAGAAATACTAGAGAGATACTAGATAGAGAGAGAGCAATGAGAGAGAGGTACTAGAGAGAGAGAGACCAGAGAGAGAGAGAGACCAGAGGTATAGAGACCAGAGAGAGAGAGAGCGAGACCAGAGAGAAACTGGAGAAGTGAGTGGATCCGACCCCTGGGTTTGTGGGTTTGTTGGTTGGATTCTCTTCCTCTGCCCTGAAGCCCTAGTCCTGGTTCTGCCTCTGCCTCCCATCCATCCATCCGTCCCTCCCCCGTCCCTCCCCCCGGCCCCCACCGACTCTCCACCTTCTGCCGATCAATGACAGTTTCATGTGGCTTCTCTGGGCCCGCAGTGACGTGTGTCCTATTGATTTATCGACGTTCCTCGGGGCGACTGAACCCAGAAGCAGCTCTCTCTCGGTGGGCAGCCCGGCTCCAGCCCGGCTCCAGCCCGGCCCCAGCCCGGCTCCAGCCCAGCGGAGCCTTCACCTCCCTCTGCGCTGGGTGAGCCCGAGCCAACTCATCCGACTGGAACCTCGGCAGCGTTAGACGGATGTGTGTGGGTGTGTGTGTGTGTCTGTCAGTGGGTGTGTGTGTGTGTGTGTGTGTGTGGACATGCTTCTCCACACATCTGCAGCGGCTCACATCTGCTCTGGTACCGTCAGAAACACTAAAGCTGGTTATAGAAGTTTAACACGGTGGATAAGTCTGCGTCACGGCCAGGCCTCTTGCTACACTGCAAAAAGTTGTGATATATGAGATAATAAATTTGGTTATTTAACTTAATTTTAGCACATTCTGACATCCATTTTTTGTCAAATCTTGTTTTATACAGCGCTTTTTCAGAATATTCAAAGTTTCTTCAAATGTCCCTATTCATTCACTCTAAACACAGTGGTGATAAGCTGCTACTATAGCCACAGCTGCCCTGGGGCACACTGACCAGTCTGTGCCATCGGCCCCTCCAACCACCACCAACCATTCACACACACACCAGACTCATTCTAATGTGGGGGAAGTGTCTTGCCTAAGGACACAACCACAGTCTGGCACTTTACAGCCGCAGCCGCCCCACTGTGGCACCTGCTGCTCTCAGAGGTCTCCCATCACAGCCCTGCCCTGCTTAGCTTGAGAGGTCTGACAGGATCTGGCTCTCACCTGCAGCTATGGCCATGGTTGAGTAACTGTTGTATGTTCAATATTCATTCAACTTTATATTGTTATTGTTGTTATAATTAAATGTATTCTAGTGTTGTCCTGAATCACAGAAGTCTTGCAGTTTTCCTGAAGGACTTTACACAGTTGTCGATTCGCCGAGACAGATCAGAGAAGCAACCAGTTTTAACGTTCAACTGCACTGGACTTGAGGACAGTGTACAATTGAGGAGAGAGAAGAGGAGAGAGAACAGGGAGCAGAGAGGAGAGGAGAGAAGATGGGAGAGAAGAGGAGAAAATAGAGGAGAGAGGAGAGGAGAGAGAAGAGGAGGAAGACAGGAGGTAAGAGAGGAGAGATAAGGGGGAAGAGGAGACTCCTACACCGCTCTCTTTTCCTGCTGTTTTTAACTTTGTATTTAAATGTACTTTTTTGCGTGTGATGTCCGTCTCATTAAGTGTTTAAAAAGGTGCCTCAGAAACAATTGTTATTATTGTTATTATTGATATGATGAGTCCGGCCATTTTTCCCTAACTCCACCCAAAACCTAATTCTCCATATTCTGCCGATCCAGAGAGGCCTCCTCCTCGCCTGACTCCGCTCTGACTATAGTGCTCCCAGCTCTCCTGCTCCTCCTGCTCCCCTCTCCTCCTCTCTCCTCCTCTCTCTCCTCCTCCCCTCTCTCCCTCTCCTCCTCCCTCCCCTCTCTCTCTCTCCTCCTCCCTCTCCCTCCCTTCTCCTTTCACACATTTACTGTCCCACTTCCAGAGGCCACTGTTCCACTTTTATGGTCAAGAGCTTCTTTTCTCTGCTGCGTGTCAATGTCGGGCCTCTGCTGCGCCTTGCTCTGCTCTTCTGGGGGGGACTCGAATCAGTGTGTGTGTCCCCCCCTCCCTCCCTCACCCCCCTGGGCTCTCCTGTGTCCAGTGAAAGGGCCATGAATAGAGGAAGGGGAGGTGGGAGTGGGGAGAGAGGGCAGCTGGACACTCCCTATGGCCGAGCGGCTGGTGATGGGGCAGGGGAGGGGAGGGGGGCATCCTGCACCATTAGGACCGGGCTGCCCTGCTCCACTGGCAGCTGGCTGTAAAAGCAGAGGAGGGAGGGGAGGAGAGGGGGGAGAGATGGGGTCAGAGAGCGGCTCAGGGATCAGTGACCTGGCCACAGTGTCCATCTGGGGGGTCATTCTGTGGACCCACCTCCAGCCACGTGCAGGACGACCATCTGGGGGCCCCTGGAAGATTAACAGAGAGAGAGCAGTGTCGTCTTATTGGGATGGACTGAAAGAAAAGGAGAGGGGAGGGAGGGAAGGGGAGAGGAGGAGAGAGGAGGGGAGAGGAGAGAGAGATGAGGGGAGAGGAGACAGAGAGGGAAGAGAGAGGAGAGAGGGAGGAGAGAGAAAAGGGGAGTGAGAAGAGAGGGAGGAGAGGGAAAGAGAAGAGGGGAGAGAGAGAGTAGAGGGAGGAGAGAGAGGATAGGGTAGAGAGAGAGAGAGAGGGGAGAGAGAGGAGAGGAGACGGGGGGGAGAGAGAGATGAGGGGAGAGGAGACAGAGAGGGAAGAGAGAGGAGAGAGGGAGGAGGGAGAAAAGAGAAGAGGGGAGAGAGAGTAGAGGGAGGAGAGAGAGGATAGGGTAGAGAGAGAGAGGAGAGGGGGAGGAGAGGGGAGAGAGAGGAGAGGGTAGAGAGAGAGAGGAGAGAGAGGATAGGGTAGAGAGAGAGAGGAGAGAGAGAAAGGGAGGAGAGGAGAGAGGACTGAAGACAGGACACAGGAATTCAATTCAATGTATTTTTGTATCGCCCTAAATCCCAACAGCATTTTCTCGAAGGACTTTACAATGTTTACAATTTTCCAACACAGATTAGAAAATCCAACAGTTCAAACACAGACAATGCAATATTTAAAAAAACAAAAACAGGTAGAATCATTGGTCCATGAGGAGCAGAGACCAGTGTCCTCGACCCTCCTGCAGAGAGAGGAGCTGAGGTGGTGCAGCTGTGAGACTTTAAACATCAGTTTGACTTGAAGTTTTGTAAATAAAGAGGATTGAGAGAGGAAAGAGGAGGGAGGAAGGAGGAGAGAGGAAGGAGAAGAGAGGAGAGAGGAAGGAGGAGAGAGGAAGGAGAAGAGAGGAAGGAGGAGAGAGGAAGGAGGAGAGAGGACAGAGGGGAGAGGAAGGAGGAGAGAGGAAGGAGGAGAGAGGACAGAGGAGAGAGGAAGGAGGAGAGAGGAAGGAGAAGAGAGGACAGAGGAGAGAGGAAGGAGGAGAGAGGAAGGAGAAGAGAGGACAGAGGAGAGAGGAAGGAGGAGAGAGGACAGAGGAGAGAGGAAGGAGGAGAGAGGAAGGAGGAGAGAGGAAGGAGGAGAGAGGACAGAGGGGAGAGGACAGAGGAGAGAGGAAGGAGGAGAGCGGAAGGAGAAGAGAGGAAAGAGAGGAGGAGGAGGAGAGAGGAAGGAGGAGAGAGGAAGGAGGAGAGAGGAAGGAGGAGAGAGGAAGGAGGAGAGAGGACAGAGGAGAGAGGAAGGAGGAGAGAGGAAGAGGAGAGAGGAAGGAGGAGAGAGGAAGAGGAGAGAGGAAGGAGGAGAGAGGAAGGAGGAGAGAGGAGAGAGGAAGGAGAAGAGAGGAGAGAGGAGAGAGGAAGGAGGAGAGAGGAAGAGGAGAGAGGAGAGGAGAGAGGAAGGAGAAGAGAGGAGAGGAAGGAGGAGAGAGAGGAAGGAGGAGAGAGGAAGGAGAGAGAGGACAGAGGAGAGAGGAAGGAGGAGAGAGGACAGAGGAGGAGAGAGGAAGGAGGAGAGAGGAAGGAGGAGAGAGGAAGGAGGAGAGAGGACAGAGGAGAGAGGAAGGAGGAGAGAGGAAGGAGGAGAGAGGAAGGAGGAGAGAGGAAGGAGGAGAGAGGAAGGAGGAGAGAGGACAGAGGGGAGAGGACAGGAGGGAGAGGAAGGAGGAGAGAGGAAGGAGAAGAGAGGAAAGAGGAGAGAGGAAGGAGGAGAGAGGAAGGAGAAGAGAGGACAGAGGAGAGAGGAAGGAGGAGAGAGGACAGAGGAGAGAGGAAGGAGGAGAGAGGACAGAGGGGAGAGGACGGAGGAGAGAGGAAGGAGGAGAGAGGAAGGAGGAGAGAGGACAGAGGAGAGAGGAAGGAGGAGAGAGGGAGAGAGAGAGGAGAGGAGAGAGGAAGGAGGAGAGAGGAAGGAGGAGAGAGGAGGAGGAGAGGAGAGGAGAGGAGGAGGAGAGAGGAAGGAGGAGAGAGGACAGAGGAGAGAGGAAGGAGGAGAGAAGAGAGAGGAAGGAGGAGAGAGGAAGGAGGAGAAAGGAAGGAGGAGAGAGGACAGAGGAGAGAGGAAGGAGGGAGAGAGGAAGGAGAAGAGAGGAAGGAGGAGAAAGGAAGGAGGAGAGAGGACAGAGGGGAGAGGAAGGAGGAGAGAGGAAGGAGGAGAGAGGAGAGAGGAAGGAGGAGAGAGAGAGGAGGAGGAGAGAGGACAGAGGAGAGAGGAAGGAGGAGAGAGGAAGGAGAGAGAGGACAGAGGAGAGAGGAAGGGAGGAGAGAGGAAGGAGGAGAGAGGAAGAGGAAGAGGAGAGAGGAAGAGGAGAGAGAGGAGAGGAGGAGAGAGGAGAGAGGAGAGGAGAGAGAGAGAGGAGGAGAGAGAGAGGAAGGAGGAGAGAGGAAGGAGGAGAGAGGAAGGAGGAGAGAGGACAGAGGAGAGAGGAAGGAGGAGAGAGGAAGGAGAAGAGAGGACAGAGGAGAGAGGAAGGAGGAGAGAGGAAGGAGGAGAGAGGACAGAGGAGAGAGGAAGGAGGAGAGAGGAAAGAGGAGAGAGGAAGGAGGAGAGAGGAGAGAGAATAGAGGAGAGCGGAAGGAGGACAGAAGAGAGAGGACACAGAGGAGAGAGGGAGGAGGAGAGAAGAGAGAGGACACAGAGGAGAGAGGGAGGAGGAGAGAAGAGAGAGGACACAGAGGAGAGAGGGAGGAGGAGAGAAGAGAGAAGACACAGAGGAGAGAGGGAGGAGGAGAGAAGAGAGAGGACACAGAGGAGAGAGGGAGGAGGAGAGAAGAGAGAGGACACAGAGGAGAGAGGGAGGAGGAGAGAAGAGAGAGGACACAGAGGAGAGAGGGAGGAGGAGAGAAGAGAGAGGACACAGAGGAGAGAGGGAGGAGGACAGAAGAGAGAGGACACAGAGGAGAGAGGGAGGAGGACAGAAGAGAGAGGACACAGAGGAGAGAGGGAGGAGGACAGAAGAGAGAGGACACAGAGGAGAGAGGACACAGAGGAGAGAGGACACAGAGGAGAGAGGACACAGAAGAGAGAGGGTGGAGGGTGGCGGTCTGAGGCTTCGGTTGCAGCTGCCTGTTGTTCTGGGGGCTCTGCTGCATCTGCTGCTAATGCGGCCTGCACCATGATACCGCCATTAAGCTAACGTGATGCTAACGTGATCCTGCCATTAAGCTAACGTGATGCTAACGTGATCCTGCCATTAAGCTAACGTGATGCTAACGTGATCCTGCCATTAAGCTAACGTGATAGGGATAATCTTACAGCTCTGCACAGACGCAGAGGATAACGATCCCTGCCCCAGAGATTAGACTGTGCCCCGACTTCAAACACCGACTCATAATGAAAACACCTCTGCGTCATTTCAATTGATTTGTTTTGCTTTGGAAATGTAAAATAAATACAGCAGTAATTCAAAATACAACAGAGGAAACGAAATAGATCCAGACCAGGTGCACAATGCAAGAAGTTTGTTGATAATAATATACTTTTTATGCTATCCTTTCTGGACACTAAAAGACGCTTCATACTCAGTGGTGATAAACTGATCACATAATTAACAGAAGCTAAAACCTCCTTTTCTATCTCCCAAAACATTGTCATTTTGATTTCTTTAGACCGTGAGCCAAATCCACCACAATCTACTGTACACACTCGTGACTGTTTTGCGAGTCTCTGCTCATCGACCTGCTCTACGTCGTGTCGTGATTCTGTCGACATCTCACCGCATTGTATCGTGCGCCGCAAGGATCAATAAACCAGAACCAAAGCTGGGTCCATAGAGCCGCCTGCTGTTGACTTCACTGACTATATATGTGTATGTGATCCTAGCCTGGTCTTATCATACCATTGTATTCATTTCATTTCATACTAAGGTCTGGGTTTGCTCCATTGACTCCGTTAACAGGTGGGAGGGGCTAACTCCTTTTGCAGAATGAAACGATTGGATCTGAGTTTACTGTGACGTTTATCTGTAATGATTCCTAAGGAGAGAGTTTTGGTCAACTCCCCGTATGGACCAGTACCTATGTGTTCTCTGTTCTCCTGCTGGGACTCTGAGGAGCACAGGGACTGGCCTCCTGCTGGGACTCTGAGGAGCACAGGGACTGGCCTCCTGCTGGGACTCTGAGGAGCACAGGGACTGGCCTCCTGCTGAGACTCTGAGTATGCAGTCTCCTCCAGACACACCTCTCTCCAGATGGACCTCCAGATTTCTCTTTTCGCTGCTGCCCATTCAGTTCAGTGACCAGCACAGATTAGCGCTGGTTTGTTGTCAGTGCTAACTTCTCCCCCCTCTTGCCCCCCTCTTCCTCCTCCCCCCCCAGCCCCCACAAGCCTTTCATCCTCCCCTTCTTCTGCCCGAGCCTTCTGTCTTAAACTGTTTAAAGTGATCAGATTCTGGCCTATCCTCCCCCATCCTCCCCCCGCCCTCCCCTCTCTGGTCGGAGAGAGATCAGAGGTGGTCGACCCCGGGCTGATGCTAAAGGTTGTAGAAAAGGGGGGACCTCTGTAATAAATAGCCGTCTTCACTAAAATGATCTGACCTTCCCGGGTTTTTATGAGCTTTTCCGAATCTTTTGTCTTCATTTGGGAAACCCTCCTGATCCCGTTAGCGAGTTTCAACGTCCCGCCAATCAAGGTGATCTTTGGGTCTGGGTCTGATCGGTCTGTAATCAGATTCACATGGACCCGACTCGGAGGGAGCCACGACCAAATTGGATTTTCATGCTCAAAAATACCATGGAATAAAAACGATGGGTGCTGTGTGTGTTCGTGGTGATGGGATGGACCGATGGTGGGTCTGAAGTGGGTCGATACGGCAACACACACGACACACAGGACACACGACACACACGACACACACGACACACAGGACACAGGGCACACAGGGCACACGACACAGGGAGTCGGTGGAGAAGGTCTTGTGGTGGATTCGAACCCACAAACTGTGCCACTGTCGCTAGCTCAAACTCGTTAGCATCAAAGCCACCGCTTCCACCCTGTGTTTGCGTCGAGGCTGCAGCAGGTTTTCTAAACTCATGCGGCCGAAGCTGAAATGCAGCGGACGCTTCGAGGCTGCGTCCCGGGTCCAAAAGGTCCAGGAGAACGAGCTCTGACATGCTGTAATATCACTCCTTGGTGGTGGTGGGGGTGTACCCGGAAACAGAAGTATCCAGTGAATTCTTTGGCCGTTTTCTTTCTTCTCGAAAACGTCTATACAGCCTGCTCCAAACGTCGCTCTTGGCCCAACTCTACGTTCACCCGTCAGGTTTAGCCGCTGTGGACTTTTTAAAGCCCTTGTTAAATCAGGCATGTCCAAACTCAGGCCCACGGGCCAATTGCGGCCCTCTGTGCCATTTTATGTGGCCCCCTGCTGCTAACACAAACTCGCCTTTGAGGAACTTTGACAGTATCATCCAACCAACTTCGGCTCCACCAATACAGTCCTGCTATACCTAGTTGTAAATCTCCCTTTAGAATCCAGTCGTTGATTCTATTGTTATTTACTGACGTATCAAAACCCATTTTAAATTCTAGAATCCAGTCAATCCAGTTTTTTAAATCCAGGTTGTCGGTCCCAGGTCAAGTCTGATGAACTAAAGTGGCCCTCTTACAAAAGTCTGGACACCCCTGCGTTAAATGAATGGAGCTCTTGCAGCTAATGCATTCACATGTTCCAGTGGGAGGGGCCACTTGCGGCCATTTTGAAAAAGTCAGCAGGAGAGAACATATGTTTAAAACGCTGCTAATATTTACAGCCTCTGGTCTCTGCACAAATGCCTTTCCTACATCCATCCTTTGCTCCTGAATGTTCCTCCTGGTCTTTGCACAGAAAGCTTTGATAAGTGATTCTTTGGCGCCGCAATAACCTTGTCTTTCCGCAGACGCTTTCTCTATTAGCCCTGATTTATCTCTGATTGGTCACATCTTTAGGGACGTTCCATGGATGCGTTTAACACGAGTGAGGCATAACTCTGTGGCCTCTCTCTGCACCTCCCGCTCAGAAATCAAATATTATGATCCCGCGCAGAGAGAACCATCCTGTAATGTTTTTGTCACCTGGTTATCTCTCCACATTTACAAATCTATTCGCAATTTACTTTGGGGGGAAATGGTTTGGTGCTGCGGTGGAATTGTCTTTTAACTGCAGCCGTGAATAGTCGACATCTCTCATCTCCGAACGCAGCCAATAAGTCGGGACCGATGTCTATTTAAATTGGTTTTTGTTTGTGGGATCGATATTATTGTGTAGGGTCGGTCTTTATGAAATCAAGCGGGCGTCATAAAGGTTTTTAAAGAACTCATTTTTGCTGAAAAGCGACAGAAAGTGAAAACTAAACCTCGACGCGATCACCATAAAACAAATATTATGTCGGTTTAAGAAGGTTTCTCTCGTAACGTTAACTTTATGTGGTTTTCAGACAATTGTGAAAAAACAAGGTCAGGGTAATAACATTCTTACAATTATGAAACAGAATCCAGGACACTCCACGTTTATGGACTTTGGTCTCTGCTGCTTTTGGACCAATGGCTCTTTGTGTTTTTATCGCTGCAGTTTCTGTGTATGAACCGTTTGATTCTTTGGAGACTCTGGGCTCCTGACTCCGGCCTCCTGCTGGTGCTCCGCATTTCAGATTCATACAACTCAAATCTGGAACAGTCTTCCAGAAAATGTGAGACGGACTTTGCTGTTCCCTCTGATCTCTCTGTTTTCTTATCTCTAGTGTCTTTGGTCTCTTTTTGGTCACTGTCCTCTCTAGTCTCTCTGGTCTCTCTGGTCTCTCTAGTCTCTCTAGTCTCTCTAGTCTCTCTGGTCTCTCTGTCCTCTCTGGTCTCTCTTGTCTTTGGTCTCTCCCTGGTCCCTCTCTGTGGTCTCTCTCTGTGGTCTCTTTCTGGTCTCTGTCCTCTCTGGTCTCTCTGGTCTGTCACTGGCCTCTCTCTCTCTGTCTTCCATGGTTTCTCTGGTCTCTGTCCTCTCTGGTCTCTCTCTGGTCTCTCTCTCTGGTCTCTCTAGTCTCCCTGGTCTCTCTGGTCTCTCTGGTCTCTCTAGTCTCTCTGATCTCCCTCTGGTCTCTCTCTTTGGTCTCTCTGGTCTCCCTGGTTTGTCTAGTCTCCCTGGTATCTCTAGTCTCTCTTGTCTCTCTGTCCTCTCTAGTCTCCCTGGTCTCTGTAGTCTCTCTGGTCTCTCTGGTCTCCCTGGTCTCTCTGGTCTCTCTGTCCTCTCTGGTCTCTCTGGTCTCCCTGGTCTCTCTGGTCTCTCTGGTCTCTCTGTCCTCTCTGGTCTGGTCTCCTGGTCTCTGCAGAATGACCAGTGCCCCTCCTGACCCTCTGAGCCCCTGTCAACCTCCATCACCTTCCTCTCCATCTCTGGACGGTCTGGTCACCTAGCAACCAGGGCCAGGGTTCGCCGCTCATGGACCAGAGGCTATTGGGAAATCAATCGATACCAAACCCCCTCCCCCCTCCTCCCCCTCCTCTTGTTATGGCCAAATGAAGACGATGCACTCTTCACTTCTCCACACCTCGGCGTTTGTGGGTCTCCCGTTAGAGACCAGAGCGAGACCTGAGAGAGACCAGAAACTGACTAGAGAGAGACTAGAGAAAGTCTAGAGACCAGAGAGAGACTAGAGAGAGACCAGAGAGAGACCAGACAGACCAGGAATAGACTAGAGAGAACAGAGAGAGACCAGCGAGAGACAAGAGAGAGACAAGAGAGAGACTAGAGAGAGACAAGAGAGAGACCAGAGAGAGAGACCAGAGAGAGACTAGAGAGATCAGAAAGAGTGTAGAGAAGAGACCAGAGAGAAGAGAGACCTGAGAGGGAAACCGGAAAGAGACCAGAAAGAGACTAGAGAGAGACCAGATACAGACTAGAGAGAGACTGTTTTACGTGTTTCACACTTGTCTGTTTACCCTTTTAACCAAAATACTCTATCATATTTAAAACCTTAACTTACTCCGATCAAATATGGCCGCCCCCTCCTCCCCCTCCTCCCCCTCCTCCTCCCCCTCCTCCTCCTCCCGTTTTGGCCAAATGAAGACTCCTCACTCCTCCT